TTACATTGAGCCGGGGCCCGGTCAAGTGCCGGTTTTGTTCGGCTGGCACAGACTGAAATCACCAAATGATTGTTTGCTGTTGAATAGCGCCGGTGTCCGGTATTGTGCTGGTCACATACCGGCGCAGCGCAGGCCCCCCTACTGCTGTTTTATGAAGCGAGAAGAAGGAGGAACGTGTCTGTCTTGGAGGCGAAGAGAAGTGCGGGGTGCGGACGGGGCGGGGTAGTCAAGGACAAGAGAGGAAAAGCCGCTTGTGGAGGATGACCGTGTGATAAGACAGCAAGAGCATGCCGAGAAGGCGTTACGTTGAACGGGATGCGGGGATTTCGATGTCCTCGCTGCTATGCGACGATACTCATGCCCCCCCCCCCCCCCCCTTACTGGTGCTGCAGCGCCGGGGGGGAAATTTAGTGTCTACTGCTGTAGTGTTTTAAAAAATACTACAGTACCTGGGAGGGTTTTATCGTTGTGGGGGGTTACATCTGCCCTCGACCTATCGGCCTCCGCTCGCGCTTGTGTGCTTCTGACGCTGTGTTGTTGTACGGGTGCTGCCGCTGCCGCCACCACCTCTCTCTCCGCCCTCCCCATCCGCAGTGGGACGTTGCTGCCCCCCAAGAACGCCATCCACAGCCTCCCCGCCAAGCTGTTCCGCAACTACCGGGACTGGTGCGAGTCGATGAGGATCGCCCCTTGCTTCATGCCGCACCCTCCCCCCAACGACGGCTACGGGGGCGGTCACGGGGACAGCGGCAGGGACAAGCTAGAGGTGACTTAACTCGTGGCAGTGGGATTGAGGGCAGGCGCGCGTTTCGGGCAATTTGTTTTTGCCTTCGATTGATTATCTTTCGGACAGGGACAGGGACAAGCTGGAGGCATCTATGTGACTCGTCGCAGTAGGAGTGAGTGCCTGGAGCACGCGTCTTTCCCCCCTCAATTCGTTCTCTTTCGATCTCAGGTAGCTGCACGAACAACAAAAAATGTTAGGTCGTTTGCATACTTGCGGTAGTTTTTGATGCGTTCGCTTGCTTGGATGGGAACAAACAAGCATGATTGCTGGCCATACGAGTCACAAACGGTGTCGTTTGCATTGCACGCCCTTGTTATTTGGGGCATGGGGTCACAATGGGCGTTGTTGCGCGCCCTTGTTGTTTTTTTTGTCTCACCACGTTTGGCTCTTTTTTTATGTATTCATTTTTCTTTGTTCACCGCACATTGGCGGGTGCGCAGGAGGACGCTTTGATGATGGACCTGATGCTGTGGCTGTGCATGTGGGGCGAGGCGGGCAACCTGCGGCACATGCCGGAGTGCCTCTGCTTCCTGTTCCACAAGATGATGCAGCACAACATGGCGATGAAGCAAGGCGGGGGGGACACGCCTAACCTGTACGGCGGCTACTTCCTCGACCACGTCGTGACCCCCATCTACGAGGTGATCACCCGCAAGAAGAAACGCGGCGGCGGGACGGACCACCAGTACAAGCTCAACTACGACGACTTCAACGAGTTCTTCTGGACGCCGACCTGCCTCATCTTCTCGTACCGCAGCGACGACGTCGCGGGGACGGCGGAGGAGGCGGAGGAGGAGGAAGGTGCCGCGACCGGCGGCGGCTTCCGCGGGGCCGGCGGGTCGGGGGGCTCCGCGGTGCTCCCGGTCGCTGTCGGCATGGAGGCCGCGCCCAAGACGTTCGTGGAGAAGAGGAGCATGCTGTCGACGGTGCTGTGCTTCCACCGCGTGCTGGAGTTCCACATCCTGACGTTCCAGATGTGCACCGTCGTGGCGTTCGCGACCATGATGGTGTGGGACAAGCCGTACTTCCTGCAGATGGCGTCGAGCGTGTTCTGGTCGGCGAACTTCCTCGGCATCGTGTGGACGATCCTCGAGGTGTGGCAGGCGTTTCCGGGCATCCAGATGACGGGAACGGCCAAGGGAGGGTTCCTCGTGCGGCTGAGCCTCCGCTTCCTGGTGCTCGTGTACCAGAGCCTGTACTTCATGTGGTCGACGCAGCGGATCCCGGTGGAGGATCGGACGGGGATGCAGGCCCAGGGCGGGTATGTGTTCTGGTGGTGGCAGTACCTGTGGCTGTCCTTCCTGGCCATGGTGCCGTACGCGCTCGAGTCCTTCCAGCAGGTGTTCCCGCCGATCGCGACGTGGCTGTGCAACTGCGACAGCGACTACCTGCAGGCGCTGCTCAACATCTGCTACCCCCTGAGCCGCGTGTACGTGGGCAAGCGGGTGGACGAGCCGGTGGGCAAGGCGTTCAAGTACATTTTCTTCTGGGGCACCCTCCTCGCGTGGAAGATCTACTTCTCTTACAAGTACGAGGTGCTAATCCTCGTCCTCCCCTCCGTCGAGCTGTACGACGACTATGTGAACTACCCCAAGACCTCCTACTGGGGCATGTTCTTCCTCATCCTGCTCCGCTGGGTGCCCCAGATGTTCATCTACCTCATCGACACCTCCATCTGGTTCGCCTGCTGGACCGCCATGACCGGGAGCATCGTGGGTTTCCAGGTGAGGTGGCGGCGTGCGGGACAAGGTTGGCGCATCATGATGCCGGGGAGATAAATAGTTGCTGTTCTATGATTTGGTCAGGGGTCCTCACGTCAAGACCGATGGGTTGGTTTGGAGACAGGTTGTTGTCCATGTCCCCTCGAAGCCGGTCGTTGCTAGCGCGTTTTTATGATTGCCTCAAGAGGTCCTAACATGGATCATCATCACCGATGGGTCAGTTTTTTTTAGACGGGGCGGTCGATTTTCCTTCCAAGCGAGTCTCGTACGCCAGCGATTTGTGTGTTTGACTTTATTTGTTTCTGAGAGTAGAGAAAAGGGGTTGGTTTCTCAAACCGGCACCTTGGTGTGCACGTTGCAGCGTGAACCTCACAATCCGTAATCTGGATAGAGCACGTTTTTTGCCCGATCGGGAGTAGGCGCGACGCGAAAGGCTAGAGGCCCGTCGGACGGTAGAATTACAGCCTCTGCTGTCGGGGCTGGTACATCACGCCGTTTGCAAAATGTTTTTTCTGTCAGTCCTTCCCATGTCCGTCGCACACGATCCCCCCTGCCCCAAAATAACAAGACTGTATCCTCCGAGGTATGCTGCTGCAACACCGGTTTCCTAAAGACATACACATGCCGAGGCAACTATATGTTTGTGTTTTTTGTGATCCCGCTGCTCTCACACACACATACACACGGACGTTGTTCATTTTTTTCTCCTTGTGCTTTTTGTGATCCCCCCTCCTTACACACACACCCAGACGTTGTTATCTGTTTTGGGATGTTTTTTTTGTGATTTCCGCTCCTATTTTTCTTGCTCCTTTTTTTTTTTTTTTGTCTTGGGTGGCTACAGGAACGCCTTGGGGAGGTGCGCGACTTCCCCTCCATCCGCAAGATGTTCATGCAGATCCCCGCCGAGTTCTGCTCCAAGGTCATCTGCGCCGGCGTCTCGTCCCGCGACCCCTCCACGCTCGACTTCTCCGCCTCCAGCGGCGGCGGCGGTAGCATGGCCGGAGGAGACGGGGCCGGCATGGCCGAGGCGGGGGCGGCGGGGAGGGCGGGTCTCACCGGGGAACCGCTTCTGACGGAGGCTAGCCGACTGCTTGCGGCGGGCGTGGCGGGCGCCAAGCCCGGTGAGTTTTGGCGTGGATTGACCGGGGCGGGATGTACTCGTGGAAACGCATGCCGTACTGTATTGTTGTCGTTTTAGACGAATGGGGGGAGTACTCATGTTTCGTACGGCTTGGATGTTCGACCACGCGTCCTCGAGCGGACGGAGCATTATGCCCCCACAGGACCGATCATCGATGGCCAATCGTTCCTTCGTACCTTGCCAAAGTTGGCTCGAAAATGGGGGGTCGGAGGTTACGATGACTGTGTGTGCCTGTGGGGCTTGTGTTTCCGTGGATGGTTTTGATAACTTGGGAGGGCGGTGGGGCGGGGAAATTTATCCATTTTTTGTGTTTCGAGAGGCTACGCCAAGAACAGGCGCAACCATCGACGACTGGTATGAGTGGGACGGGGGAACTTCAGAGTCTCCGTAGGTATCGCCTTACCAGCAGGACCGTTGGCGTGTTTGTGGCCCTGTTTGTAGTGTACGGTTTCGGAAGACAGCAACGGCCGCGAATCGGCTGGTCCAGTGAGATGAAGGTTAGCGTCAGCGTGGTGTCAAGCATTATTTGACCACTTTTCAATGCGTAGAAACTTTTGGTGTGTGTGTGTGTGTGTGTGTGTGTGATCTTGATCTTGATCTTTACTATTTGCATCGACCGCGCTAACCGGCTGACTGATGAACAGACGTCAGCCTCAGCGCGGTTCAAAGTTGAGAACAGCAACATGCTTCTGAAGGCCATGAAAATGGGACCCGTGTGTTCCTGGCACGCCCTCCTTACTCCTTGGTTCTCCCTCCCCCCCCTCCCCCCA